CTGTCTCATACACACACAGATCCCATGCCTTCCCTTCTCTCTCTCTCGTACACAAATATACATCTACCCCCCCCTCTCTCTCACACACACACACACACACACACACACACATCCCTCATGAGAGCTCAGCCACCCTCTGCCTGGTGACATGCAGTCAAAGGGACCTGCTCCCTCCCAGGGCAGCCCATTCCACTGGGGCCGGTTCTCAGTGTCAGGAAGCTTTTCTCAATGTCAAGCTTAACCCATTCCCTCCATGACTTCCCCCCACAGTTCCTGGCTCTGCCCTCTGGGGCTGATCCATCTTCCACATGACAGCCCTCCAGCTTCCTGAAGACAATGATCATGTTGCTCCTACGCCTTATGATTTTCCAGGTTAAACATCCCCAGTTATTTCAACTGGTTCTCATGTTGTCATGGATTCGAGGCATTTCACCGTGCTGATCGCCATCCTCTGGGTTCTCTCTCTGTCCTTTCTAAAATGTGGCATCTAGAACGGTTTACTCAACATCTCTGAAGTGGCCCAACTGAGGCAGAATACAACAGGACTTCTGTCCATTATCTCTCAAAGCAACTAAGACTTCCTTAGCATTTTTTGCCTGCCATATCACACCGCTGACTCATTCTGAACTTGGAGTCCATGAGGACCCCCAGGTCTTTGTCAAGCAAACTACTGTCTATTGTGAGGCATTAGATTGTGGGGCTAAGCTGGGAAACATGGAATCTGCAGTTCAAATGCCACCTCTGAAGTCTCCCTAATAAGACCACTTAAGCTTTCTGAACTAGAGCTGGAGTTGTCTTATCTGGAAAACAGAAATCATGGGCAGCCAAATCTTCCTCGGTGTTTTAGTGACGTGCAAGTAATGTATGTGAATAATTCTACAATCTCTAAGGTCACTGCCACCATTACTGTTTTCATCCTGTACTTAAGTTGACTTCTTGAACTGGTGTAAGACTTTGCATTGATCTCTACTAAATACATCTTTGTCAGACTGGCTCAGTGTTCTGGCCTCTCCAGATCTTTTGGGCTCCTGGTTGATCCTTCAGTGCACTAGGGAACCCTCCTGGCTATTTGTCCTCTATAGATCTGGTCAATGCCTCCTTGATCCAGGTCACTGACAAGAATGCAAAATGACCAGGACACCCAACACTGATCCCTGGGTCACTTCCCCACAGCAGCCTTCCTTCTTCTTTTTTTTGGGGGGGGTGGGGGTAGGCAATTGGGGTTAAGTGACTTGCTCAGGGTCACACAGCTAGTAACTGTCTGAGGCCAAATCTGAACTCAGGTCCTGATTCCTGACTCCAGGGCCTGTGCTCTATCCACTGGGCCACCTAGCTGCCTCAGGCAGCCTTCCATCTTAATTAATATTGAATTAGAATACCCAAGACCCACAGCCCCAACCTCCTGAATGTGGAGCCTCCCCCTCCTTGCCACTTGCATACCATCCTCCTGCTCTGTCCTGGATCCTCCAACCTCCACCCCTCCCCTACCACCCCCCCCCACCCCCCCCCACCTCTCTTGCTCACAAGAGATCTGACATACTATCTCCTCTCACTGTCTGTCTCTGTTTCTCTCCCTTCTCACAGAGCTCAGGCCTCCCCTCTCTCCCTCTCACACACAGATCCCTGTCTCCCACCCCCAACAGATTTCTTGCTTTTCTCTCACACAGACTTCATGCCTTTTTCCCACACAAAGGGACCCTATCCCCTCCTCTCCCCCCACTTTACACACAAACACACACACACACACACACACACATACACATACTCTCTCTCTACTTTCTTCTTTATCCCTCCCCTCCCATACCTCATATCCTGACCTTCTCTCATACCACATCTCTCTCACACACAAACACTCCCTCCTTCCCCACCCAAAGACCTCTTGCCTCTCTCACACACAAAGACCTTACATCCTTTTATATTTCTCCCTTTCTCATATACACAGACCTCCATGCCTCTCTGTGTCTCTAAACACACATACATACTTTCTGTTCTTTCTTGTAGACACTACACGCTCTCTCCCACCCCCCTTCTTAATCTCAAAGCCCCCATATCCTTCCTCTCTCTCACACAGACCCCTACCCTCCACAGACCTCATACTCCCCTCAGACAGATGCCTCCATGTTCCCCAGACTTTATGCCTCTCATACGTATACCCCATACAGATAGACCCCATGTCTATCACACACATACCCTACATACATATCTCTCTCTCTCTCTCTCTCTCACACACACACACACACACAGATCCCATACCCTCCTCTCTCCTTTTCTCACCCTATGACATCCCCACACATTCCAAGAACCCCTAGCCCCTTTCCTCTACAGATCCCCTCTGCCCTCTGCCTGCCCCTGTCTCTCAAACACAGAGACCTCAGCCCTTCAGATCACATAGACGCCATGGCCCCCTCTCTCTAGTGCTCTGTATCAGCCTGGCACCTCTCCTACACACCCAAACCCCACATCCCCATCTTATGGGAGACCTCCCTCCTTCCTGCCTCTCTCCTGCCCTCCCCCCATACATACAGACTCATGCCTATTTCTTTCTCTCTCTCCCACACACACAGACCCCACGCCTCTTGTTCACATGCATGTCTAGAGACCCCATGCTGCTTTCTCTCTTCCAAACATAGACCCCAAAGCCACAAAGACCTCTAGGCCTCTCTCTCCCACAGATCCTCCCCGCCCTTCTGCACAGAGATGCCCCCATGCCTCTCCCTCTCCATACACTCACTCCACGGCCCCCTCCCTCGGTTCTTCCTCTCACCAACACATACTCACACACCCACACTCTGCCTTTCTCTCTCTCTCTCACTGACAGACTGTACCTCGAGTCCGTCCACAAGCCTCCTCTATGACAGGCCACACCATTCCTTTCTTTCTTTCTTACACAAACACACAGCCATAGGCTCCATGCTGCTGACTCACACACGATAGCCCCTACACCCCCCCTTCCTCTCCCTCTCCCCACCCTTTGTCCCTCTCCTCCCTCTCCCCCCTCCCTCTCTTTCACTATTTTTTTCTCTCTTTCCATCTCTCTCCAAGACACCCATATGATTTGCTCTCCCTCACAGACACACAAACACATCCCACAGACAACTGCATCCCATGTCTACCTACGCACAGAGCCCCACATAGCCCTCCACACTGGGAGAAGTTTAACCTTCACCCTCCTCACAGCCCCTCCTCATTCCTGAGGCTGCCAAAGAACAAGTCTGCCCCCCCCAATCCTGCTCCCCACTAGACAGCCCCATTGTGGTACCTGAAAGAAGCCAGCTGGCATAGGCATCCCGTCACTGGGAGCCATGCCACCCATCACCGGGCTGGGAGCTGCAGCCGCACTCTGAAAAGCAGAAAAAGAAGGGTCAGTCAAAATCTACCATAATGGGGTCCAAGCGTCCCCATTCCCAACTCTAGGCCTTCTGTTCCCTACCTATCCCAGCCCTGGGGCCCCTATGAAGGGAGGAATGGTACAGTGTATAGAAAGAACACAAGGGGCAGCTAGGTGGCACAGTGGATAGAGCACTGGCCCTGGATTCGGAAGGACCTGAGTTCAAATCCGGCCTCAGACACGTAACACTTACCAGCTGTGTGACCCTGGGCAAGTCACTTAACCCCATTGCCTAGCCAAAAAAAAAAAAAGAAAAAGAAAACAAAAAAACCCCAAAAAGAAAGAACACTGGATTTGGCATCAAAGAAGCTGGGTTCAAATCCTGTCCTCTATCACTTACTACCTTGGGATGTTAGGTGAGTCACTTCCCTAGAGCTGTTTCATCACCTATAAAATGAAAGGGGTGATCTAGACCTATAATCCTATGTGTATTGCAGGTAGGTAGGCCTAGACTTGGTGGGCTATTGTTCTGATAAATGTCCCTTTTTCTGTGCCTCAGTTTCCCCACCTATAAATTGAAGAAGGAATCATTGATCTCTAAATTGTGACATCCTGCATTCTATGGGCCCTCCCAGCTCTGACATTCAGTGTTCTAACGGCCCACTCAGCCCTGACATCCTATGTTCTAAGGGCCTCCCAGATCTGACATTCTGGAGTTCCTGCCAGGTCTAAATCCTAGAATTCCCTAATTCAGACAATAAAGAGATCCTTGACCTTGGAGAACAACTAGGCCCACCTAAGGCCCAGAGGGAGAAGAATCTTGCCCTGGGTCACAAACAGAACAAGCAATACCCCTCTCAAGCCAAGGGTCCTCAGCCTTATTGGTATCCCGGAGTCCTGGTCTCCGAATCACGTTTTGAAATAAATAAAAGACACTGGAGTAACCCAAAGGTTCCTAATGATAAAGATGTCATTTCCCCTCCCATCCAAGATAACAAACTGGTGGGTCTCAGGTTCAGGATCCCCGCCCCAGTCCAATTCATTCCAGCAAAGTGCTAAGTGCTGAAGAAGAGGCAGAATTGCAATGATAAGAAGAAGGAGCATTTCCGGCCTTCTATCCTTTCCCTCCTTCTCCTTACCATCCCCCTCTTCCAATCCCTAGCCCTTTATGAAGCCTTTGCCGACCAGTCAGTATGGGCTCCTCAGGCCTGACAGTGTATGAATCACACGCTTCTGCAGGGGATGTGAGGTTGTGTTTTGTTTCTATCTGATCAAGCGTTTATTAGGTGCCTACAACATGCCAGGAACTGTGCCTTATAAGCCCTGGGGATACATGGACAGAAACCAAACAGTGCCTGCCCTCAAAGACCTTCTAGTCTCCTGGTAATAAACAAATGGACCTTGCAGATAAGCAACATGCATGTGACCACGTGAGGAAGGAAGAGGAAGGAAGCACAACCGGCAGAGAAGATCAGAAAAAAAGGCTTTCAGCAGGAGACAACATAAGAGCTGAAGGAAGTGGAGGATGGCTCAGTGGATAGAGTGCTGGGCCTCACTATACCTCTGTCTACCTCAGTTTCCTCAGCTGTAAAATGGGGATAATAACACTACCTAGGGTTGTGTGAGGATCAGATGAGATATTATTTGTAAAGCACTTTGCACAATAACTGGCACATAGTAGGCACTATATAAATGTAAGCTCTTATAATTACTGAAAGGCCAAAGTGAGAGGAAGGGCATGGGGGACAGGGCACATAAAGGCCAGGAGATGGAAAATCACATGTTGGATTGGGGGCAGGTTTGGGGACCAACACAGTCTGTGAAGATCAGGAAGTTGAGTCTACAAGCATTTATCAAGTGCTTACTGTGTGCCAGGCCCTGACGACAAACCCTAAACCCTAAACTCCTGCCCTCCAGGAGCTCATACTGGAAAGGGGGAGGAATCGTATGGTAGCTCAGTACATACATAGAAGACATAGGTGGAAGATTATGGAAGGCACTGGCGGGGGGAGGGGGGGGGGGGGGAGGTCTCTTGCAGAAAATGGGATTCCTTTCGGGTCTTGAAGGAATCTGAGGAGCCAAAGGGAAGGGGAAGAGAATTCCAGTCATGGGGGACGGCCAGTGCAAAATCTTAGTGTTGTCCTCAACTCCTCACTCTGTCTCACCATCCCCCCCCCCCCCCGCCCCAATCCCATATCCAATGGGTTGCCGAGGCCTGTCAATCTGACCTTCCTGACATGTCTTGCATGTGTCCCCTTCTCCTCTCTGACATCACCCTGGGCCTGGCCCTGGTCACCTCCTGCCTAGACTGTTGTAAAAGCCTGTTGGCTGGTCTGCCTGCCTCCAGGCTCTGCCCACTCCATTTAATCCTCCACCAGCTGTCAAAATGGGTGCTTTCTAAAGCACAGGTCTTACTGAGTCACCGACGACCCAACCCCCAGGCCCATCTCCAACTCTTTTTTTTTTTTTAAATATATGAAGCAATTGGGGGTTAAGTGACTTGCCCAGGGTCACACAGTTAGTAAATGTCAAGTGTCTAGTCTGAGATCGGATTTGAACTCAGGTCCTCTGACTCCAAGGCCAGTGGTCTATCCACTGCACCACCTAGCTGCCTGCCTCCATCTCCAACTCAATAAACTCTACTGGCTCCCTACACCTCCAGCATCAAATAGAAAATCCTTTCTGGCATTCAAAGCCCTTCCCAACCTTCTCTCCCCCACCACCCACTACATACTCTCTGACTCAGTGTCACTGACCTCACACAAGACACTCTCATCTCCAAACTCCTACCATTTTCCCTGGTTGTCCCCATCCCTGGAATGTTTCCCCCTTCTCATCTCCACCTCCTGGCTTCCCTGAAGTCCCAGCAAAAATCCTCCCTTCTATAGGAAGCCTTTCCTGGTCCCCTTGAATGCTGGCACCTTCCCTCCCAACCATTTATCCTGTCTATAGCCGGTTTGTCCATGGTTTGCATCTTGTCTCTCCCATCAGACTATAAGCTCTACCTTTTGCCTTTCTATGTATCGCTTAACACTTAACACAATGTCTGGCACATAGTAGGTGCTTAACAAATTTTTACTGACTGAGAAACCACAAGATTCGGTGCCAGACTGAATATGGGAGTGTGGAGTTAAGGCTGAAAATTGGGGTTGGAAGCCTAGGTGCCTGGGAAGATGGGGGTGTCCTCAGCGGTAATAGGAATGTTGGGAGGAAAGGAGGATTTGAGGAAGAAAGATAATGAATTCTTTTTGGATGATGTTGCGTTTGAGATGTCCGATAGATAGACAGTGATGTGGGACTGGGGCTCAGGAGAAAGACCGGGGCAGGATCTATAGATCTGGGCCTCATTTGCATAGAGAGGATAAGTGACCATGGGAGCTGATGAGACCACCAAATGAAACCAGACAGAGGGAGAGAAGAAAAGCGTCCATGACAGAGCCTTGGGAGACACCCAGGGATGAAGAAGCAACAAAGGAGGCTAAGGAAGTACAGTGGGACGGCCAGGAGGAAAACCTGGGGAGAGTGATGTACTGAAAACCACAGAGGAGGAAGTATCATGGAGGAGATAATGGGCAGTGTCAAAGCCTAGAGGAAGGTCAAGAAGGAGGAGGACTGAGCAATGAAGAGGTCACTGGTAACTTTGGAGAGAGCAGTTTCATTTGATTGCAGGAGGGTTTAGGAGAGAGGGGGAGAGAGAGAGAAAGAGAGGGAGGGAGAGAGAGGGAGAGAGAGAGGGAGGGAGAGAGGGAGGGAGGGAGGGAGGGAGAGAAAGAGGGAGGGAGAGAGGGAGGGAGGAAGGGAGGGAAAGAGAGGAGGACTTGTTTAGAGCTCTTTTGGTTGTCTGCTGCTGAGTCCCCCTCTCCCCCCCATTTTGAGAACATTCATTCATTCATTCATTCATTCAATAACCACTTGTAAGACACTTATTACGGTCCAGGGCTGGGAACGAAAAGGCAAAAATTTAACAATTCTGAGGGCAGAAGTTAGATCTCCTTTTCCAGAACCTGGCCCAAGATTGGGAACATCTTTCAACAAAAGGCTTGTTGGGATGCAGTGGATAAGAGCACTGTCTCTAGAGTCAGGAGGACCTGAGTTCAAATGTGACCTCAGATACTTACTAGCTGTGTGACCCCCGGGCAAGTCACTTAACCCTAATGCCCTCCAACAAACAAACAAAAAAGATTTGTTATTGGATAATAGACTAGACCCTGTTCTGCCTGGTTCCTTAGCCTGGCATTATCTTTTCAGGTCCCTTTTCTAGGACATTAAGAAGGGTCCCTAAATGAGTCCTGCTTTCAAAACCAGGAATTAAGTTTGAGTTAGGCAACTTCACATTCTATTTGCAAGTAAAATTGATTTCAACGTTATGGCAAACTAGAGACATGCCCCTCCCCCAGCAGCAAGGTGTATCGGAAAAAGCATTGGAAGCGATGTGTCCAGGGCAGCCACCTAGCCACTGGGTGGTTTTGGAAAAACTATGTAACACTACTAAACTTCAGTTTCCCCACAGGATCAGAGATCAGAGCATCAGAAAGGAAGCTTGGAGGTCATCTGATCCAACATTTATTTTACAGAGGAGGAAACTGAGGCCCAGAGTGATGAACTGGCGTGTTCAGTTCCACTCAAGCATTTGGATCCAGGCCTCTGAGGCTAAATCAGCCAGGCCACCCCCCTCCTCCACTTCTAAAACAGGAGAATACTGGCACATTTCAGAGTGCTTTAGAGGGTCGAATGAGATGTGGGTAACATGATTTGTACTGGGGAAACTGAGGCTATGCAAATGTAAGATGCTTATGATTTAAATCATTCCCAAAACGTTTTTACTGGAAAGATCATTGGATGGTTAAAGGTATTGGGTTGTGTCTAGGGATGGCTTCATTCTCTGTACTTGTATCCCCAGTACCTAGCACAGTGCTTGGCACATAGTAGGTGCTTAATTTATTACTACACACTACAGCTCTGTCACCTTTCAAATAGTTATCCTTTTCTACCCCCCCCAAAAAAAGAAAACC